AAAAAACTCTGGCAGTATGGGACTCTCTGTTCTGAAAATGGCTGGCAGTCAATGAGTTAATAAGTTCAGGAGATGGGTGAATATATCGGTGAGAGGGGGTGAAGGACCGGTGGAGTCGGTCAGACAGCGGCCGGCTCTTTGCTGGAGGAGATGTCCCCCTGGGTGGGCAGCAGGTTGGCCAGCTGCTGGGTCTTCAGAGCCGCCCGCTCCTTCACTCTGAGGGACACAAAAGTTTCCTCAGACACACTCTTATAACACACGGTTCAAAACTTTTTCCTAAGATTTCATTAGTGAGACAAAAGAAAATGTCTTTGGACGTGAAACACAGAAGCTCGACTGTTCAAAGTGTCTTTAACCCTTTAAAGCCTGATCCAAGAATAAAACAAAACAGAAAATGACTTTTTGGGGGTTTGAATTGCTTATTTGGCCTTTTGACAAAATATGTAAAAAGAAAAAACCGAAATTCATTTTTTCAAAATTCATTTTTTCAAAATTCATTTTTTTCAAAATTTATTTTTCCAAAACCAAATACATTTTCGATTAATAATTTATTACTATGCGATAAGTCAAGTTTATTTTTTGTGTAGTCTTCTGCCCCCTGTTATCAGGTGTATCTGATTATGTACCATAGTAATAGTTTTTACCATTAAATTATGCAAAAGGTGTCAGATGCAAAACATTTCAGAAACCGTATCTATCAAATATGATACATTTGGCATTACAGGGTTAAATGTTTGGAATCCAGATAAAACATTTGCCTCGGATCACCGATCAATGAGGAAAAAATCAACATGTGAGACAGGAAAAGTATTAAAGCTGTGAAAGTGGATCTTTTTACCTTTCTGGAAACTCGATGTCGTCGATAGTTTCGGGTAAAGGCACTCCTCTGGTCTCAGGAAGCAGAAGAACCAGCCCACCAGCCAAAAATGCCAAAGAGCCTGAACAAAACAGCACATGGAATCACACAAACTACACAAACCTCATTCAAATCAGCCAGCAAAAGCTTTATTTATTCAGTATTTGAATATTTTAAAGATCTGGACAAAATAACCGAATAAAAAGTAAATAAAGACAAAAAATTTCCTCTGTTTTAAGTTCTGTTGTCAGAAATATTTGTCTTAAGCATCTAAAATACAACAATAAACTTGAAAAAAATGAACTAATTATCAGAGAATCATGCTTTTAATTGATGTGTTGATGTTTATGGTTGGATAAATTCTCATTAAAAGTGCATAAATGCAGATGTAAAAGGGATCCGAACAGCTTTTTCTTATGTTTAATACGAATAGTGGCTCACTCAGATCAGATTTAACTCAAATTATGACCCACCGAAAATGATGAGTGGCAGCTCCAGCCAGATGACGGCGAGCCTGTAGAGCAGGAAAGGAGCCACGATGCCCCCGACGTCACACAGGGTGGAGCACACCGACACGCCCAGGTTCCTGTGGGACCACAACCACAGCTCAAAACCAGAGGTGGCAGCTTTTAGTTTTTAAAAGGACAAAACAGGAGCTTTATCATGTAAATTCTCATCAAAAATATGAAAACAAAACTAGTTTTAGGTTAATTTTGATGGACTCATTTCTTTACCTTAAGCACCAAATCAACCTAAAACAACACTTAAAATATAAATTACGGCAAAATGTTATACGGCAATTAAAGATATATAATCTGTCATTTTAATTTATGATGAATGCAGTTTTCACACGTATAATTCTAAACCCATGAATATTATGTTGTGTTATCTACATACAAAATCTTAACAGTTGTAAATAGCAAATATCACATCTAAATCAAATTTAAAAAATATACTCTACTGTGAATATAATAACCAGATTTAACTTCAACATGTAAATGGTAAATCCAACACATTATATTTAAATCTAAATGAGTAAATTGTGGTAAATGTGAAACATTTTCTAAAGCCATAAAATCTTGATGAGTTGTTTTATCGGCACCCCACAAAAAGGAATTATATGTTTCTCTTATTTTATAATTTAACATCATAACATGGAGATAAAGTACATGCTTGTATTAATATTTCTGTTTATCCATCCAGAGATTAGTGCTCATTCAGCCATCCAAACGGAGTGGAGAGCCTCGTTGAAATGTTTTCTTTAAAAAACAGCCCTAATTTTTTGCTGAACGTTTAGTCCTTGTTAAAAAAAGTCATAATTATTTAACAAGGCGGGCGCTAGGCGGGCGCTAAAACTAAACTAAATGGGTCAGATGAGCCTTTTCCTTCAAAATCCTGACTCTTCCCCAGACCTTTTAACCCTCTACTCCTCTTTCTTCCTTCTCTCTCTCTTACTTCCACCACTGATTCTGACTGGGGATTTTCCTCTAGAGAACTTATTGTCATGTTGGTGATAACCGTAAAATTGTGTCTACTTTGTAAGTCGTCTGGATATAAGCGTCTAAATGCAGAAACATAAACTAAAGAAAAAGGGGGCACCATGAACCGGCCAAAGGAGAGGAATCTGCTTTGATTTGCTTAAAACTTTCGAAAAACTCGGTCTTTAACTCACTGGCTGCCAAAGACGTCTATAGACGTCTTTTATGTTTTTCAACGCGAGTGGCTGGGGGACGATCTGCTAAAGCTTGTCTGTAAAAATCAGGCTTCTAGACAGAGTATGTAGTAACAAATTGACCCTCTAGGGGGCAGTGCCACTTTTGATGGGAGATGAGCATAGACTGTAGGCAAATAAGAAAAAGGTAACGGTTCGCTATGAGAGAACATGTCGCCGGTGAGACGCAAGTCCAGGAAGAACGGAATAAGGTAGAAAAAAATGTTTTTTTCCTGATGAAAGAAGAGAGTCTATTCTTTCTTTTGGTGTGTTCGGTGTATACATAGTCATAGCACAAACTATTCTGTGGCTCTTGAAAAATCAGTCAAAATGCTAAAAAAAACTGGCAGTATGGGACTCTGTTCTGAAAATGGCTGGCAGTCAATGAGTTAATCAGGAATACCTGAATAACTTTAATATCCTGGGATTATGGTGGTGTGATCGGGTCTAAAATATCGTTACACACGGTGTAGTGAGGTGTGACCCTAACCCTAACCCTAACCCCCCCCCTCACCTGACAAACGTCGGGTAGAGCTCCGTGTTGACGAACACGACCATCTCGAAGGCCATGGTGATGCCCAGCCGCCCCACACAGGCCACCACCGTCTTAAACCAGAACATGCCTGCAGGACCCAAGCAGCGCGTTAGGCTGCAGGAGGCCTAGGATGGATATCCAACTCCGCCCACATCCAAGTCGGCCATTTTGATTAGGTCACCAACAGGAAGATCCCAGGCGAGATAATCGTAATTGCTTCATGGCAATATAGACATTAATTTAGAAATAGTGAAATTAATCTGGTAAACAGGGTCAGGGTTAGAGTCAGGGTTATGGTCAGGGTTAGGTTTAGGATCAGGGTTAGGGTTAGAGTCAGGGTTAGGGTTAGGTTTATGGTTTGGGTCAGGGTTAGGGTTATGTTTATGGTTTGGGTCAGGGTTAGGTTTAGGATCAGGGTTAGGGTTAGAGTCAGGGTTAGAGTCAGGGCTAGGTTTAGGATTAGGGTCAGGGTTAGGGTCGGGGTCAGGGTTAGGGTCAGGGTTAGGGTTAAGGTTTAGGGTCAGGTTTCGGGTTAGGGTGGAGGATTAGGGTTAGAGTCAGGGTTAAGTTTATGGTCAGGATTAGGGTTAGGGTTATGGTTAGGGTCAGGGTCAGGGTTAGGCTTATGGTTAGGTTTAGGGTTAGGGTCAGAGTCAGGGTTAGGTTTAGGGTCAGGGTCAGGGTTACGTTTAAGATCAGGGTTAGGGTTAGATTTCGGGTCAGAGTCAGGGTCAACACATCGTTTGTCTTCTGATTTCGTATCGACAATATCGTCTCTTTTCCACCTTAGAAACCTTCTAGTCACGTGACCTAATCAAAATGGCCGACTTGGCCGCCGGCTTTTTTCCCGGGGTACTCACTCTCGGGGATGAGGGCCGTGGCGAAGCAGGAAGCTCCGGCCACGAAGTTTGCGGCGGCGAACGGGAGTCTGCGGCCGACGCGCTCGATGGTGACGAGGATGAGGAGCGCGGCGGGAAACTCCACCAGCCCCGAGATCAGGAAGTCCACGTACACGTTCCCCCCCAGGATGCCCAAACGCATGATCAGGCCCTGGTACACCACCGCACTGGTGAACCTGGAGATATAAATATAATAAATATATATATACGCATGATCAGGCCCTGGTACACCACCGCACTGGTGAACCTGGA